CCAATTGGGTTTTCTATGTATTTAAATGATATTCCTCTCGCTGTGTTCTTGGCCCTCCTGATTTTGTTTGCCGACGACTCCACGGCTATAGTCAAGGGAGAGTCTTTCCCTGAGGTAAATACTAAAACGGTGGCTGTAAATGACAGTTTTTTCGGTTTTGCTAATGATAATTTTTTGAGGATAAATTCAGAAAAATCTAAAATACTACAAATACATACCAGCCAAACAAAAAATCTTGTTCAACCTGATGTTAAAATTGAAGATAAGAGTATAGAAATCTGTAAAACTGGTAAACTCTTGGGAGTACAAATTAATGATACACTTAACTGGAATGATCACTGTGATAAGGTTGTCAATAAAATGAGAGGAGTCTCTCATGTGTTCACTAGACTGAAATACAAGTTAATACAAGTTAATACAAGTTAAACTGAGAGTTCTGAATGATAAGGGTGTAGAAGAAATAATTAAATCAAAGTTGCGTGAGAGTAACAGAGGTGTGCCGCAAGGTACATCTCTCGGTCCCTTTACTTACAGCGCATATTCGATTGACCTGCCCTTAATTGTTATAATTGCAATATTAGTTATTGCCGATGACTCTACAATGATAGTGAAAGGTAAAACTGCCTCTGAGGTGAATGAAAAGACAATACAAGCAAACTCTGACACGGTGAAATATGCGAGTGATAATCACCTGAAATTGAATCCGAATAAGACTATGGTAATGACAATGCACACCGCTCAAACGAGGAATATAATCCAGCCTGAAATATTGATTGAGAATGAGGAATTGTCTGTGGTGAACAGTAGTCGCCTTCTAGGAGTAACGTTAACAGATACAATGAATTGGAATAAACAGTGCAGCGAAGTGGTTACTAAGTTGCGTAGTGTTACGTATTTATTTATCATGTTACGAGAAAAAGTTCTAGAATCGACTTTGGTCCAAGCCTATCATGCATATGCGGCTAGCCGAATTCTATACTCGATTGTAATCTGGGGTGGATCTACACATATGAAAGATATTTTTCTTGCGCAGAAAAGAGTAATAAGAGCGATGGCTGGCGTTCAATATTGGAGAAGTAATTCGGCACTTGACTCATGTAGACCACTATTTGTGAAATTTGGAGTTCTTACAGTCTATTCATTATATATTTTGGAGTGTGTTAAGTTTGTGCGCAAATTTCCTGAAAAGTTTAAAATGAATCGTGATGTTCCAGGTGTTGTAGTGCGAACTACGCGTGCTACTGCATATGTTGAAACAGATTTATTTGTAAGGCCAAGCTCACTAAATTGTGTGAATGAAAGTCCTGAGATAATGATAGCACGAGTATATAACAAATTACCCAATGTATTGAAAGAAATAGCTGACTATGGCAACTTTGTTAAAAGTGTCAAATATGTAATGCTGAAGTGTCAATTCTATGATATGAATGAATATTGGAGATGTAAATTTGAATGCTTAAACTTGGAAGAGTGAGACTCAGCTGCAGGGTTTTCGGGGGTGGTTTTCCCCTGCAGTATTTGAGGAGGGTTAGTCAAAGGCTTGCCCACCCCCGCCGAATAACTAATGGCGTGCGAGCTCCCTCATTCACTTGATGTTGTATTTAGTTGATTGATAAAACCTAATTATTATTATTATAATGACCTGTTGTAAAGGCAAATTGGAGATGTACTACATATGTCTAATGCAATAAATTTTGATCTAATCTAATCTAATCTAAGGTGTCAGATAACATTCTTAAATTGATCTATTTTTCACACGTTCAGAGTCATATAATGTATGGGATTGTAATTTGGGGGGGTTCTAGTCATTTAATCAAAGTATTTAGAGCACAGAAAAGAGCGTTGAGAGCCATGGCGGGCATTCCCTACTGGCGATCTAATGAAGCGTTGGATACTTGTAAACCATTGTTTGTCAAATATAATATAATGACCGTGCCATCGTTGTATATACTCGAATCTATAAAATTCTTAGTGCAAAACCGAAACCTATTTCAGAAATATAGTGATACTGTAGATACGAGGAGAGTGACTAGACATAATCAGACTAATCTTTGCTGTAATGATTTGGTTGTGAAAGAAGTAAAGCTTAAGAAATCTGTAGAAAACCCAGAAATCATGATCCCCAGAATATTTAATGCATTACCGATATCTTTAAAAGTCCTCGAAAATGACGAGGTTCTTGTAAAAATGGTGAAAGCTTTTGTGTTAGAGCACAAATTCTATGACTTGAACGAATTTTATCGTTTAAATAATGCCATGTACACTGACTTATTTTAAAAAGCTGTTATTTACTATGTATGTTATGTGGTATATAATGCTTAACAAAATAAAGAAATCTTGAATCTTGAATTCTATAATAAAGTGATTGTGTTTTTGCGTGTTCAAGAGAAAGGATTAATAGAGATTGGAATATATTATTTTTTAACAATAATTACTAATCTAAGCTGCCAATCATTTTTACAGACCAAAATATTGTTTTGAATAAACGTGGGGCTTTAAATATTTTCCTGGATCATTGCAGTCAAATGAAATTACAACAATTTCATCTAATTCGTGTAGACAATAAAGCTCATTCGCATTATTATATCTTTTCCATATCCCCCGCTTTCTTTCTCTTTTCACTACAAGTACAGTGCAGTACATTATAATATATGCAATTGCGCATTTTTTATGTAGTCTCTCCCATCTCATGGCACAATCTATCAAAGAGCGTCGAATCGAGCCGGCTTACTGAGCAGTGCCGAAGGAGACGCAATCAGCCAAGGGTGATAATGAACCGGCGGCGGCACTCACCCCCGTCTCAATACATATCAGCCCTAATATATACTGCTCGCTCGCTCGGCGGAATATATACCGCCATCCATCTTCTTCTCGCGGACTGACGCACGAAATTGCGACACGGCTTGGGTGATTCTTCGCATGCTTAAGCATCAGGTATGCTTGAGTTTAAAGCATACGCAAGGTTAGGAAGTGGAAAAAAAATTGTACACGGTGGAAAGGCGGGAAAAGTGTGCATCCAATCAACCCACGTAACTCATCGTGCACCCCTCCATATTGCAGATTTTGCTCCTTTCCCTCACAAAAACAAAAAAGAAGAAGAGAAACAATTATAGAGGGAGTTTTAAATATATTCTGAATAAAATTGTAAATTTTAAACAGGTTCTTCTCATTTACAGAGATAAATTCTTTGAAATTTTAAGGAATCAGAATTCCAGACTGATATATGTTTAGTCATTTTAGTTGAAAATTACTAAATTACTAGATTTAAATTAGATTACATCACAATTTACTACATTAGACATGTGTATGTATACATATCTAATTAGCCCTTACATCAAGTCATTAATATTAGTTAACAAAATATATATTCAAAAATGTGTCTCATTTACCATTAATGATTGAGGGTGTTCGCACACCTTTAATTATTTGGCTGAGGTGGGCGGGCACGCATTTGACTAACCACCCTCACGTGCTACAGGGGAAAACTACCCCCGAATACCCTGTAGCTGTGGAGTTGCAATCAAATATATTTCAGCATTATTTTATTCCTTTATTTCCCGCAAACGATATGAAAGCTGCAGAAAAATCGTCTGCTGAAAAATCTGAATAAAAATAAAGATTGTTGATTTGATTTGAGCAGCACGTACACTACATCACGGGTTTGGCAACAAATCGATCCCTAACACAACTATTCGACAGTTTCATTTCTTTTTGTGTGTTGACTGCTTCTTTTGTTTGTTTTGTCTTCTGAATTTTACTGCCTTCTCAGAGAAATAGAGCAGAAAAAATTATTTCGGGTTTATCACTTGCGAATTTTTGACACCATATTATTATTGTTACTATATATTGACTTATTAACTTCGCAGCTGGGTTCCGAATTTGTTGCAAAGTAAGTTTTAAATTGAATCAAAATAATACTGTAAAATAATAAAAAATAAATAATCCCATTTTGTAAAATTCGTACAGTTTTTATTTTAACACTGCTTACGTTCTTTTTGTATATCTTCCTTTTTCGCGAGGAAAGTTGAATGTTTTTTTGGCCAATCCACGGGTCTATCAAGCCTGTGCGCATGATTAAACGAAACCTGTCGCCATCACACCTGCTGCCGGAGTGAAAAAATCCGCGAGCGAACAAAAACTAGGCTGTCGAGGAGTTATCTTTTATTTTCGCATATGCCGGTTAATCTGAACATGATCGCGCGCGAGCGCTCGCACATCTATACCTATATTTATTTATGTACTCTCGAGCGAGCTGCATCATCAGCTCGCTCGGCAAATATATCACAAACACACGAAGCGTCGCGATCCATGTGCGAGCGCCAGAGGCTTCATTCTGCTCTTTTTTATACACGTTTGCCATCCAGCCTGCTGAGCAATCGCAATTTTTCAGTCCGCCAGAAACAATTGTACACATGCTTTCGGCGAAACAACAACAACGCAAAAGATACCTTTTTTGCGAGCAATTTTTTTTTACAGAATTAGAGAAAATAATGGACCTGTCTAGTGACGGTGGCACCAAAATTAATTAACGGGGGTCGGGAGAGCACCGTGAAATATATTTAGAGAAATCATAGAGAGGAAGTTTGATAAATAATTTTGTTCAAGAGGGAGAAGGGATAGTGTTTTGGAAGAGAAAAGCGTCTGTTTTGTCAAGATTTTTTACAAAATTAGTATGTATTCTTGAATGAATTACTTAAAAAAAAACACGCTTGTGCATATTGTGTTTACTTAAATATATTTTGAATAAACTTGAATTATTTTAATTAGAGTTTAAAAATAATTCATAAACGGTGTTAAGAAAAAACAAAGTTTATTATATAATTCTGCAGTTTGCTTTTTGTTAATGTAGATTTCTTGCTCGAGCTATAAGTTTAATAGAGAGAACCGTTTTTTAAAGTGATTTATTTTAAAAACGCTTTTCTGCTCCAAGTTGATGAAAAAAATTGATCTACTTGACTGTGTACAGAGAAGATAAAAGAAAATTTGCAAGCAACACTCACCCCTGAGCGCCTTCATGTGCGCGACGGCCATCCGGAGGATAGTGAGCTTGTCCGGCTTGCGGGCGAGCGCGCTGCACGTGGGCACCATGTCCGAGAGTTCGGTGATGTAGGCCGTCATCTTGTTGCGCCGCCGGCGCTCGATTTCGCAATGGTTCTCCCTACTGGACACGGACAAAAGACAGTTCAAAATATCACTAACACACAAGATAATCCTAACGCTACATATTTAAATTTCGATTTTTGTTGTTGCCATAATACATTAGATTGGATAAAGCACGGTGGGAAATGAAGAAGTTCCAAGTGGGCGGACAACTGGTTCATTTGCCCTCGCGGAAGGCGGGGGTCAGCATTGTTTGTAATTTGAGAATACTAATAATCCACGCGCGGCAGCTACTTTTTCTTTCTTTCTTGTTTTACTTGCTGACCTTTTGAGCCGTTTGTTAGCGAGAGCTGTTCGCTCGTGGAATTTTGTCTCTCGCACACGCCACACAGTAGTGTTCAAATTTGGAGTCCAGACCAAGTGGGCAGCTTAAAGTGTGTTTTGGATTGTTTTGCTCTTGAGAATTGAACTGTTCAAGCCAACCTGGACCGACGCAGGTGGTCCTTAAAAATATAAATTATTTTCAATTTATCTTTTTTGATCACATAAATTTGTTCATCCTTTTTCATGTAAACTATTCAAACAAAAGAAATTTTTTTTTTTCAATTAAATCTTTCGAAGAATTTTATGAACCACAGTTAATTAAATTTTATTATTATTAATATTAATTCTACTCAAGTAATAAAAATCTTCAATATTGGAAAATATACTATGTATCTATCAACTCAACCAAACAGACAGGCTATACTTGTTAATTTCCACCTTGCATTTCTTTGAGTGCATTCACCCCCCATAAAGGTGACACTGAGAATGGAACCTCATTAGAAAAGGCGTCACCGCGGTGTTGAGCCGCTAAGTTCGTTTCTCTCCTTCCAATGATACAAATAAACCGCGGAATCCCTGTTAATGGAAATGAAATTAATTTTCCATGATTTTAACCAAATTCGAGGAAAAGGAGTGCAGCCAGAAACGAGCGGGAGAGAGGCGCACAAGGCGAAGAAGGATCGCGTGTCGAGCCGGCGGCTAATCGATACTCCGTTGGAGCGAAAAAGAGAGAGGTATAGAGCTGGCGCCCATATTCACTTGCAGCTCTGTGATTATTATTATTATTAATACCGCCGATCGGAAGGAGGGTAGAACAAAGAGCAGGAATAAATAATTCATTTTGTACCAACAGAAAATGCATGAAAGAACTTCAAAAGATTGATATAAGCAACAGACTGAATTGGAAAAAAATCTGAATCAGAGTTCTGGAAATTTTTGATGTGTTCAGCATTTATTAGTTCTGAATTCACGAGTTACAATTGAAGTACAACAACGTCTTACATTTTTTATTTTTTTTTTATGCAAATAAAAATGCCAATTGAAACTTCTGCCAAGCTGTGCCAAGCTTATAGGGTGAAAATTTCCAAAGCCTATGTCATCCTTATTACTAAATTATTTTTTTACTTTGATGCATGTACTTTCTATATATTTTCAAAATTTTCCTTTTGTAGGTTTGAGAATTTTTAGCTCCAATAATTGAATAAAAAAATCAGTCTTTCACGTTAATTTTTATCAAATAAATATCCAGAATTTAAAAGTTTTGGATCCATTTTGTTCTTTATATCATATGAATGAAAGTTAAAAAAAAAAAAATATTTAATTTGGAAACACCTTTGCTTCCAAGTTGTTTACCAATATGCCTATTCTCTCCCAATATGACTTTTCCATTTCTTGCATGACGTGTTGCGAAAGAATAAATGAATTGAGCTAGTTCTTTATAATTTTCCCAATATTGCGCCTCCACATTGGTACGTGTGTTCCTTTGCAGCAATAATGCCGGCCGGCAGTGCCGCAGCCATACACGGGATGATTTTTTTCATTTTCTGAGAAAAAGGCAGCTCAGCTGCTGCTGGTTTCATTAGTAACTTATTATTGGCCCGAAGGCGGCAAAGGGGAGCATCCCTATTCAGAGCAGACAGACATGTGGAAAATTATATTTTCTGCCTCTTTCTTCACTCTCCGGATTAGATTTTCTATTTTATCTTTTTTCGCGCTCGGGCCAATCGTCAATGGCCGTGTAATGGGCGGATGCAGTCAGCCGTGCCAATAATTCCTCCTGATTGCACCTCAGCAGGAATAAAAAGTGGCTTACGGAGACTGTACGTAATAGCGGCGCAAACGCCGAGTTCCCACGCGCACACAATTGAGCCCAATTATCACATACTTTTAAACTCCGACCGTATCATTAGATGAACGGAGAGAGAGTCCACCCTTTATTTACGCCGATTATAAACATAGGTGCTCACAAACACACAGGCAGGCGACACGAGCCTTAATGGTCGTTCGGAGAAGCGCATGCGATGCTTTATATTTTATGCATTTCATAAACTAAGTGATTGCGATCGACAGCTCGTAATTTTTTCACTCGGCTGAAGGAAGGATAAGAACCTACAAGAAGGCACCATAAATTCTGCATAAATTCATAATTATTTTCAAAAGATATTTTTTCTTTGTGGACTTGTTTCCGGAAAATTACATCAATTGAATTGGAAAAATTTCAACCATTTATAATTTAAAAGTATAATAATTTATTAATAAATAAATGTGCAGTTTCCACAACAAAAACGTCGATGGTGGAAAGCGGAAATTTCAAGCTTCAATAGGCGCTGGTCGCGAGCTCCAGCATTTCAGAAAATATATAATTGAAATCAGATAAGGCGCACTTCCACAAATGATGCGCTTACAATAGTTTTCACGCGCAATTGCGCTCCTAGCAATCAGCTGTGGAACGAAAATTTATAATACGCGATTTGCACAACAACAAACAACCTTTTGCGATCAGCAAAGCATGATGTCAAAGATAGAGAGAGGATGCAGCTGTAATCTAGACCATTGAGCAACGACAGAGGAAAGAGATCAAATAAAATAATTTATCAGATTTTGCTTTTTGTTTGATTGCGGTTATAATACATTCATAAGTCAATAAAATATCAATTATTATAAATAATCAAAAAATGAACAATTTTAAATTATTTAATCCAATGGAGTAGAACTAAATAAATAAAAAAGCAATGAATTTTCACAAAAATTATGTAAATATAAATGAAGTCAGAAAGCGATAGCAAACATCATTTCTAGGAAATTTTATGACAACAACTGCTTCATCTTATTAAAAAGAAGGATGATTTCCATTCCAAAAGTCATTCAAAAGCATTCTCTCTTGGTTGAGCTAAACCTTTTGGTATCCCTATAACAACATTAAAAAAAGCGAATGCCTTTAGACCGTCCGCGTCATTATTTTTGTGGCATTCCATTGAGAGCTGCCAAGAAGTAAACAGAGGAAAATTTTCCCTGGCCGCAAGGGCGTACTAATAAAAATAATATGATATTTATAATTGCCGCCGCTGGTGTGATTAGAGAGAGATGAGCACGAGAGAAGAAGAGCTGGAGCCCGCGGCCGGACCGCCGGAGGGCACTCCGGCGTGGGAACAAACACACGGTAAAATAAATATACCTAAATGGACGGACATACTACGAGCACACCCCCACCAGCGACCGGCGGCGATCGCGAGAGAGTCACGACGTTGTGCAGTCTTTTAAACTGGATGGATGCGCGAGCGAGATGTGATGTGGACACAGCCGAGAGGTTGAGCGGAAAACGAGGCATGAAAGTGCAGCATCCCGACCGACAGCCTCCCTGTTGCCTGCCGCGATCGCCAGAGGCCAATACGATCGACTGACATAGCTTTTCTGACACAAGAGAGATAAAATTATAAAAATAGGGAAACAAAAATATTTCGGTGGTTGCTACGTATGACATTTAAGAAAAATCAAGGTATAGAATTTATTTCAAATTCCTAATTATACGCTTCATTAGAAAATTGATGTTCGGAGGAAAAGCCTGGTTCTTTGGTAAATTCAACACGAATAAACTTTTTTGTGCTTCAATTTTATCAAATGCAAATATTTTCATGAAATGAAAGGAAAATAAATTTTTATTTTTTTCTCAAGCTGACAATTTACATAATATACAAGTGTTCATTCTCTTAAATTGCGCATCGGTTCTGGAGATTTCCAACGCAACCACTTCTGCACTCCAGTTGCGCAGGTTGCCTAAAGCATAATATTATAGCATGATAATAAGTCAACATAACTGTTTATAAACCTTTGAATGTTCAAATCAATCGTGCATACGCGAATACACTCTTCCACGTTACAATTTTTACCAAAGCTTACCAATTTAAGACGTCGTCCGTTTTTTTTTTAAACTTCCGGCTTTCACTTACAATTAGACCAGCAAAGCAAATCGACTAACAGTCTAATTAGAAAATCCGCCTCCACAGCAGCGTATTATGCAAAATTACACGTTTTACGGCCACGCCAATAATCCGAATATTATTGCTTTGCAGAAGTGCATATGCTTTAACTTTTCGAAATTTCCCTTTGTGATAAGTGTGCTTGCATCAGTAAGTATTTTTCCATCCAGCGTACCCACGCAAATTTGCATAAAACGGCGGCGGCGCGAGTGGCGTGCGCTGCCGATCTCATTATTATTTTCTCATGCATGCTCTTCCTCGGCGCCTCCCCGCTCTCGGCGCGTAACGAAATATCTCAACAGACATCATCAATATTTGCGCCGAAATTCCGTGGCGGCAGAGAAAGCCGACGGGCCCGCCGGGGTCTCTTTTTTCTTTTGGTTTCGCGCATTCCCGTGGGAACCGCACGTGGGCCGCCCACTCTTTTTGTTCTTTCTAATTGCGACTACCGTGCGCTGTGTTTTACTTCTGTTGCCCGCGTGTATCTAACGGCGCAGTCCGCCCCTGGCGCCGATCGGCTGATTTTTTTGGGCGAATTTTTCTCACATTTAGCGTGGAATCAGTGTCACAATCGGCCCTGCGGAGGATCAATTAGCCTTGCTGGGTAATTGTTAAAAGAGATATAATTATTCGCTAGGTAATTGCATTCTCGCTTGTTTGCGGAATTCATTAAGGCAATTTACTATTTTTCCAGGATGTCTTACCTAGAGTTGGAAATGCAGCACGTCGCGGCGATTTCATATATTGCGGCGGCGGCTGA